AGCTTGCTCTCTATCTATGAGTCTGACTATATTTTGCTCATTATTTCAGTTTGTTCATTAGATTCCACGTATGAGTGAAATCATGACTAGCCTATTCCACTTAGCATAATGGTACATTTACACAATGGAATACTACTTGGCCATAAAAAAGTATATTTTACCCTTTGTGACAGCATGGATGGTTCTAGAGAACACAATAGTTTTAAAAACTATTATTTACTATTTCATAATAGCACAGTAAATTATTAAAAATTCTCCTGCAGTTGACTAATATGCACATTACTTTTCTGAGAAGAAGCATAATAAGTGGAAATCCACTTCATCTACACAAAGGAAAGGGAGCCATGGATTTCGGGGAGACAGTTCCCTGTACTGAAAACTGAGTCCCTCCTGCTTCAGATGCACCTGCCATTCCCTGGCTCTGCTTCTGCAGGGCAGACGGCTCCTACCAGCACTCGCCCAGGAGGCAGCAGGCCTGCACCTACAGCTTACTGCTGTGCCCTCACAGTGACGGATCATATGGATAAATGTTAAGTTGAGGCACATGGTTTTTTATGACTTTTTTATATTTAGTCACATCCAGATATCGGGAAATGAGAGCCAACATGTTTTTCAGATACTGGACTCTTTGTTTGATTTTTTTGGTCGTTTAATCTTTATTGTACTTTTTCCATTACCATTTAGTCCCCTTATGCCCCCACCCCTCAGCTTTGTTTGATTTTTAAAGATAAGATCATCTTAAAAGATTTGTAGTGTAGTTTGTAGCAATTTGTTTTTTAGCCTTTGAGATTTAGTCATGTATGTTTTAAGTATGGTAATTAATGATCTGAGCTTTGTTGAAGGAATATAGCTATCTCTACACATTTTTATTGCTGAGTTCATACTATATTATATGTCATAGCAAAATTATTTCGCAGTCTCGTTAAAAATTCTGTAGACAGGATAATGGCTGAATAATCTTTCATCATATAGATGTACCCAAATTACCCATTATAGTAATTTGGCTATTTAGAATGCTTACATTTTTGCCTGTTACAAATGAAAATATGATGAGCATATTTTTCATGTAGTTTGTCCTCATATTTGATTTTTTCCAGAGATTATTTTACTACAGTGGTTCAGGGGGCACCAGAGAAATAAAGTTATGGAAAGTTTTAACTATCAATGCACCAAAAAAAAGAGAGAAGAAAATGAGTTGCACTCTGGGGCTCTAATGTGGCTTTTATGTAAAAATGTCTTTCTTTCCTTCTTGCAATTCTGATACTTACCATGAAACCAAATGAAGAGACTAGTGGTAGGCACAGGTACTGAGGGTTGATTATCTGGGTTGTATGTGTAGTTTGCCACTAAGTCACTGGGACAGATAACTCAAACTCTTTATCACTCAGTTTCCTCATAGATAAATGGTAATAATAAAATAATAGTAGTCCCTGTCTCTTGGGGTTGTTCTGAGAATTAAATATTGTGAGAATTAATTTACGTAAACCTCTTGAAAATGTGTCTTACACAGAGTAAATGCTCACTAAAATGCTCACCTAAGAAAATATTTTCTAATTTTATATTCTTAAAAGTTATTCTTTTGTTTCCAATCCCATTGCATCTTAAATAGTAGAGTCGCTTAAATTCCTTCTTAATCAGACTATCCCATACCTGAAAATACATGCATGGAATGTGCTCTTTTTAAGATTTCTGGAATTGTTAGTATTTTAGTTGTACACATAAATCACACAGATCCTTATCTCAAATAGCCAGTGGCAGAATTCTTCTGAACAAAATGTTTTTCATAGATGGTTTGGGATCTTTTAGATTTTTCACCCTCAAGCACAAAAGTTATCATGAAGAAAACACTAACATAAAGAAGCAAAGTGTGGTGTGAATTAGTGGATATGTTCAGTGGAAAGAGGGAGCAAGTCACCCAACCAGAATCCAAACCAGTAGCCATTTTCCTGCCACAGCCACACATTATGAGAAGGCTGCAGGTGGTCTTTCCAGACACATTCACTCCATTTATTACAGACTAATAAGGCTTTTGCCCCAATTTGGAGTCCCTGCCCAACACAGCTTAGCTGAGCCTCATGATGCATTAGTGACATTTGCCTAGACAAGGCAGGCCTAAGAGCTTGTCTGTTCCCGCTAAAAGTTAATTTTGACCTATTACATCTTAACATGCCAATGCCAAAAAAAAAAAAAAAAGGAGTATGGAACTACAAGAAAAGTATATCAAGAGGAGCTGCCTCAATACACATTTCTTCTTCCCATCTGTGAAGCAGAGTTTTTCAACTTCAGCTCCACTGACATGTTGAGCCAAATAATTTTTTTTCATGGTAAGCTGTCTTGTTAATTGTAGAATGTTTAGTCACATCCCTGGCCTCTGCCCACCAGATTCCAATAGCACACATCTTCACTCCCATCAACAACAACCCAAAATGTTTACAGACAAAATTGGCTTCAAGTGAGAACCACTGCTTTAAAGCCACACAATAATTACATGTTCCTTGTACCCTTGGGCTCTGCTGGCTGGTGTCATAGTCCTCCTCAGAGACTTCCGTGATGAAAGGGGCCTTGAGCACCACCTCCCAGTTCACCACTACACTGTAGACAGCCTGAAATGGACACCCAGAAGCACACAAGTAAAACTATCCCCTCTGCCTACTTTATAAGGCCAAGGCTAAAATCATGTATTCCTAAAAACCTCAATTCTAGATATAGTAAAGAAAATGATCTCTTCCTTTCTCTCAAAGTTAATACATTACTGAAATTAATTATATCACTAAAACATCAGGGTTTAAAATCACTCTTCATTTTCTTCCTAATAATTTTCTATAGTGAAAATGTATAGTGTTAAGGTGCATATTCAAGAATATTTCATTAATCACTTTTAAAAGTGTACATTCCCTTCAAAATATGTGTATAGATCCACACTTACATCAGTCTCAGAGCTACTGAGCTACTTTTTTTCTAGCAAACTTTATAAATAACCCATAAGCTTCATGTGGTATTTTCAGGTTCTTTGAACAAGCTCAATTCTTTACTACTTTGGTATATATTAATAATTAGTACATATTATAAATTATATAATATTTATGGTTAATGAAAATCACATCTAAGTTATTTCTGTAGAAATTAAATTAGCACTGAAATTCATTTAGATTGGTGTAAACTGGCAAATGGAATCAGCTGCAGTACTCTATGAACTATAGTTAGTTTATAATTTCTAAAATTGTTTTCTTGTTTTCCTTGGTTTTCATGAGCTTATGAGTGCCCTGTAGAGCAATACAACCAAACTGTTAATTGGTAATAATCAGATTTGGGCAGATTTTATATGACAACAAAATGAAAGCTAGCTTTTTTTCTTTCTTTTCTTTTCTTTTTTTTTTTTTTACTGTATTTGTTTTTAGAGAGGGGAAGGAAGGGAGAAAGAGAGGGAGAGAAACATCAATGTGTGGTTGCCTCTCAAATGCCCCCTACTGGGAACCTGGGACTGCCCTGCTGGGAATCGAACCAGGAACCCTTTGGTTCACAGACCGGTACTCAGTCCACTGAGCCACACCAGCCAGGGTTGAAAGCTAGCTTTTATTGCATATTTGCTTCTTGCTACGTTTAACTCTTTTCTGAATTATCTTTATATATTATTTTTATGTAATCCTCCCAGGGACATGAATTTTTATATATGTATGTACATAATTGTCCCCCTATTATCCTAGTCTCTTGGTCAGTCAGTATCTTGGGAATATCTTGTAATTGAAACTTGTGTTGTGTGACAGTATGTATTTATTAATGGGTTCAAAATGTTGCTACTTTATGGTAAAATGTTAAAAATAATAACATAAAGAAGAGGAAGAGAGGGAAGGAATAGAAGAAGAGAAATAGCAAGAAGATGAGGCTGTAATCTCTGTCTCCAGAGATCTAGTTGAGGTCATATAATCTGGCAAATTAGCATAATTATGAATGAAGTTTAAGGTAGCACATGGCATGTTATCAAGTGTAGATTGTGCTACAGGAATTCAAAGTTGAGAAAGCTCATTAAGACCTGAGGTTAGTTGGAGAAGCAGTGTGGGTAGTGGATTCTTATCTCGACTTCAAAGAAAGTTAGGGTTTGGTTTGCTCTTCTACAATCCATGAGTAGCCAGTGATAAGCTGATGACATTCCAGGTGGAAAAACCAGCATCCTAGATATGAGTTGATCCAAGGGTTTGAAATTTTTCTACAATTCCAACATGATTTATATACATTTTTAGGAAAACAATATTGGTTGTATTCACATTCTTTATGGTGTAGAATAAGAGAGCACGAGGGTATTTCTGGTGTGGGAGGGAGCACATAACCTCAGATGTGAGAAGTTAGTACACCCAGTATTTGGCACTTGCGTCACCCATGATTTCAGAGATACAAGAGTACTGAAAAGTTGTGTTTTCCCTATTTATTTCCTTAATTAAAAATTATTTATCATAATTTGCTCTATAAAGAGGATTGCAATAGAAATTATTAACAGACTGGTTTGTAGTTTGCTTGTTGGTAGAAAATATGTCTAGACATCTTTCTGACATTGGCATTCTTTACTCAGTGATTTTCAGTATTTTTTTCTGCCTCTTTGTATTTTTTATTTCCTTCACTCCAGGTTACAATCTGATATACTCTCATAATCTCTTACTATATAGAATAATTATTCTAAGGAGTGTTAGGCTTGAGAAGATTTGTATCAGAATGCCGGAGAGGAGTATGGGCCACATATGGTTTGAAGGTTCCCCTTGGAAATGTTGGTATCTTCCATATGCTTACCTGGCAGGGGAGATACCATGATCACAGAAAATTGGTATCTCCCCTTCACTGTGCTCTTTGCTATATAAGAATTTTTATATGTATTTTAAAATCCATACCTACATTGATACTTTTGGAGTGTTAATATATTAGATTATTAATAAACTTAAATTATCTCCAGTAACTTAATTTGAAGGATTTTTTAATTCCTCTCTCTCTCTCTTTTAAATTTTACTTTCTAGATCCCAAAGTCCAAGAGTGAGGGATCTATTCAGGTCTACAGGGTACCACAACCAGATCTTTCCGATGGTGTTCCTCAGGTCAGCCTGCGGCTCAGTCATAGAAAACCCTGCTGGAATGGCATGAATTCAGCAGAGGACATTTGTGGGGACAAGTTGGCATCCAGGTTGGCATGTTTTCTTTGTTTACATGTTACATATTGCATTCTCTGCTCTGATGTACAGGCCCAGATATGTAGATATGTTTGTATTTATTACCACTGGGGTCAACAGGATGCTGATCAGTAAAACCATTTATAATTCACTCTGAGATTTGAGAATATTCTGACTAATAGTTCTTATCACAGAAGCATTCCTGCTTTGTTATATTTTATTTCTATATTAAAACAAATTATGGCCCTGACTGGTGTCACTCAGTGGGTTGGGCATCATCCCACAAACCGAGGGGTCACCAGTTCGATTCCTTGTCAGGGTTCATGCCTGGGTTGCTGGCTCGGTCCCCAGTTGAGGGAGTGCAAAGGATAACTGATCAATGTTTTTCTTGTGCATAGATGTTTCTCTCCCTCTCTTTCTCCCTCCCTTCCCCTCCTCTAAAAATAAATAAATAAAACTTTAAAGAAAAAACAAATTATATAATCAATCGGAACATGTCGTACACTCAAATAAAAGTTGGAAGAGTTATGCCTTTTCATAGTATGTTCAGTGGCCAATATTATCTACAATTAAAGTGGACATCAGAGTTGTTACTGGAATCCACTCTCACTAATAAATTTTGAATATTGCCTTTTAACCATTATGTTGCACAGAACAAACTATTTTTGTATACTTGAAGAAAAAGGCATGCAATTTTTAAAAAATGAGTAAAATGGAGTCTAAATCTTATTTACTTATAGCATAAAGAATTCTGTTTTAAGAATGCTTTTACTTTTTATAACTTAAAACTTGTTTCTGAAATTTAAAAAGTTAGAAGACAGGGAGCTCTAAAGAATTGAAAGATATTTAAGACATTAAATAGGTAAATAATATAGTTAAAGAGCTTACCACTTTGGATTGTCTTATAGAAAAGATGAAGTTTTTGTTGGATTTAAAAGATGAAGATAATTTAAATTGAGGGGAAAAAAAAGACAAGGCTCTTACAAATAGGCCTAGTTAGGAAGTGCGGTGGGTGTTCCAGAAATATTGGACAGGTGTCACTTAAGGAATTATCCAGAGATAGCCTGGGAAGGTAAAGTAAGGCCAGGCCATCAAGGACCTTGACTGCCATCCGGAATTGTTTTTATATTCAGTCTTCACAGATCATATGTTCGGCACTTAACCTCTGGTTCCAGGAGCGCTTTAGGACAGGAGACGCAGCACAGAACAAAGCCAGCCAGGCCCTTGTGTTTATGGCCCTTCCATTCTGATGAAGGAGGTAATAGCAAGACGGTTAGAAAAAAATAGAAAAAAGCCCATGAAGAGTCATTTTAGCTTCGATAAATGGGGGTATTGAGAAACTAAAGCAGGTTCATGCAATAGACTAACTCAGAGACAAATAGTTTAGTTTGAGTGGTCAGAAGAGGCCTGAACTGAGACATCAAGGGGCAGGAGGAGGAGAGATCCTGTAAGGATCAAAGAAGAACAAAAGAACTGAGATAAGGAGGTGTCCAGGTAATAGGATGCCAGTGAGAGTTTCAGCTGGGGAGGGATCTGTGATGGGAACCATGGTAAGTTGGTATATCAGAAAAAGTAGCCTTCCATCGTAGCATGGAGGTCTGTTGGAAGAGCCAGAGTTTGGAAGTGGTTATATTGTTGGTTCCTTCAGCAGTTGCTACTTTTTATCGAGATCGATTTATTTGGCATACTTACTTGCTGGTTGCTGGGGATTCAGAGAAGAGACATAAGTCCTGTGTTTAGGGGGACAGAGAACAACAGAATAGAAATTCAATAATTATCATTAAATACACATTTAGTGAGTACCTAATATGTACCAGGCACTGTGAAGTGGGCTGGTGAGAAAGTCATAAATAAGATTCAGGCACCCTTCTTAAGAAGCTTCAACTATTGTCCATAGGCTGCTGTGTGAAGACAGAGAAAAGGCACAGACCACACGGGGAGATTAGGGTCAGAGAAGGTTTCAGAAGGAGAGGGACTTTTGGAGGAAGGCTAGGAGGCTAAGTAGAAGTTTACTGGGCAGGGAAATCAAGATAAGGGTGCTCCTTATCTTGGAAAAAACCCCTGACACAGGCAAGGACATTCAAGGCAGTGAGGACAACTTGGAGGAGAGTGGCCGGTGCAGCAGTGTGTTCAGGACATCTGGAGGTCAGAATGGAAAAGAGGCTAAGCTAAATAGGTCCGATCATGTACCCTGTATTAAGGAGTTTACATTTTCTCTTGAAGATGATGAGGAGTGATGGAAGAAATATACACAGGAAAATAATATAAACAGACTTGTATTTTAGAAAAGATCCTGTGGCAACAATGCAGAAGGAAAGATTAAGAGAAGTGTAAGAGGTGCTGGGAGAGCAACAAAGAGGCCATGAGACAACCCAGTGCAAACTGAGAGACCCGGCGAAGTCATTGTGGTCACTGAGGACAAGATGTGGACAAGTCAGTGTGCCCTTCCTGAGGAAAGAGAGAGATGGGCTCTTGCTTAGAGGAGTTTTAGGGTTGGGTTGTTTGTTTTTGCTTCATTTGGGATATTCTAATAGTACTTTAATAAATGAAATATGTGTAGGTTTATAAACATAACAAGTGGTGTTCATGGAGAGAAAGAAGCTGATGTTACAGGGCAGAAAATAATAGAACAAGGACCTCCAGGACGGAATCCAGAGACCAAGTAGTGACTCCCTGAGTAAGGCAGGTGGGCACCTTGTGCACGGTGAGGGTGTCTTCACATCTTAGCCTCTGTGAAGGAGTGAGCCCCTGACCGTGTGCAGTAGGCAGTTGAAGAACAAGCCTGTTCCTCAAAGGAAGGGCATGATCAGCAGAAGAACTAGAACTAGCCTTGGTTAATGAGGAGCACTTTAGAAGAGAATAAGGGGCACAGATACAAAACACTGGGACTTTTTAATGTTTCCTTCTCTAGTTTAAAAACCAGGGTCAAACAGCTGGCTAACAAGAACTAGTGTAGATGTTATCTTCCCAAATTAATTTTTAAAAAATTATGCCAAAATGCCTGAAGTTAAATGATGAAAAGAAAATTTCAAATGTTTGTTGTTTATACCTTCATTCTTACTCATGGAGTCAGAAAAGAAAAAAGTTTCCTGCTTCTAAAAGTAGCAAGAAAAGAGCTTCCTGTTTGGAGAATGAGATACAAACCAAGTGCTTCTGAGATACAACTCAAGTGAACTTATGGAGAGAAGGCTCTGCTAACTTTCCTCTAGCCACTCTTTGTTCCGCTGGTCAGCATATGCCAGTTCAAACAAATGCATATTAATGTTTATGAATTTCCTATATACTTAGCAAGTTTTTTAAAGTACAACCTGTAAGGACTGACTCCGTCACACTCAGCAACCTTGCAGGTTTAAATGGAACAACAAACCTTGCTACCTGCCGTCAAGCAGACGATCCGTCAGCTTCTTGCCTCTATTGAAATCAATAGTATCTGTTTAGAGATTTTTACTTTTTGTATACCTGTTAATAGATTGTGATACAAATCATCGAAAGACAAGTGGAGATACTTACAATAATTTTAACCAAAAATAAGTTTTAAATCATTTATAGATCTTTGAAGTAACAGAATAGACATTGTGCCAATTTTCATTTCAAAAATAAACATACGAAGCTGTTTTCATTTACAGTTACTTTCCAGAACAAGGTATTTGTTAGTTAATAAATTTTAAATAGATAAAAATAGTGTGTGTTTTGTATGTACACAAACAACACTTTTCTCTAACTCTTTAGGTAAGATTCCACTTTTTAACAGTTTATTAGTTCCCCTGGTTTTAAACACAAAGGCTAGCAGTGTGTGTGAAGTGTATTATTATGTCCCTCTTCCCTAATACAATATTTACTTTGGCTTACCAACTTTGTTTCAAGCAATTGTCAAGAAGCTATTATCTGAGCTTTCCCTAGTACTGATTTTAATTTATTTTTAATTATATTTTATTGATTATGCTATTACAGTTGTCCCAGTTTTTCCCCCTTTGTCCTCCTCGACCCAGCACCCTCTACTTCCTCAGGCAATCCCCATGCCATTGTTCATGTCCAGGGGTCATGTCTATATATGTTCTTTGGCTACTCCATTTGCTATACTGTACTTTACATCCTCATGGCTATTCTGTAACTACATATTTTATATTTCTTAATCCCCTCATCTCTTCACCCATTCCCCCACACCCTCTCCCACCAGGCAACCATCAAAACACTCTCCATACCCATGGTTCTGTCTCTGTTCTTCTTGTTGACTTATTTGTTTTTAGATTAAATTGTTGATAGATATATATTTATTGCCATTTAATTTTTCATAGCTTTGATCTTCTTTTTCTTAAATAAGTCCCTTTAATGTTTCATATAATAATGGTTTGGGGATGATGAACTCTTTTAGCTCTTGTCTTGGAAGCTCTTTATCTGTCCTTTGATTCTCAATGATAGCTTTGCTGGGTAGAGCACACTTGGCTACAGGTCCTCTCGTTTCATGACTTTGAATATTTCTTGCCAATCTCTTCTTGCCTGCAAAATTTTTTTGAGAAATCAGCTAACAGTCTTATGGGACCTCCCCTGTAGGTAACTAACTTCTTTTGTCTTGCTGCTTTTAAGATTCTCTCTTTATCTTTAACCTTTGGCATTTTAATTATGATGTGTTTTGGAGTGGGCCTCCTTGCATCCATCTTGTTTGGGATTCCCTGTGCTTCCTGGACTTCCATTTCCATTTCCTTCACCAAATTAGGGAAGTTTTATTCCATTATTTTTTCAAATAGATTTTTAATTTCTTGCTCTTTCTGTTCTCTTTCTGGCACCCCTATGATTCAAGTAATGGAATGCTTGAAGTTGTCCCAGAGGCTGCCTACACTATCCTTGTTTTGTTTTAGATTTATTTTTCTTCTTGACGTTCTAATTAAATGCTTTTTTCTTCCTTATGTTCCAAATCATTGATTTGATTCTTGACTTCTTCCACAGTACTGTTGTTTCCATGTAAACTGTTCTTTATTTTAATTAGTGTATCCTTCATTTCTGATTGTATCTTTCT